CCCACGCCCGCCCCGGAGAGGCAGCTGAATGCCGGGCAGAGCCCCGGGTGGGGGGCCCGCCTCCCGGCACTGCCTTGCTCGGCGCAGGTCCCGGGGGTGGCGGGGGCCCGCAGCCGGGCCCGGGTGGGCCAGCGCCCCCAACCCACATCTTGCTGTTACATCCAAAGCCCACTTTCTGTTATCCTCCTGGAGAAAGAAAGCAGCTGGTGCTCAGTCTCTGCATCCAACTTCTTTTCTTTTTTTGCTATAGGACATGTGCATTTGCTGGAGACAGAGAGGACAAGTGAAAAAGTATCCCCACCTCTGCTCCCAGAGGGAATGGCCACTCTGCAATCCCTTCTCCGTTCTCTCAGAATTTTGGGCATGTACGCACATGCACCCAGCTTTTTCAGGCCAGTGAGTCTGGGATTTGAATTGAGCAGCCAGCCATGTGGGATCCAGTGGCCTACAGCCTCCATATCATCTGCTGACCTGAACACTATACTTTTACGAGACTATGTGACCATTATGTCTTCACTCGACTTTTTCCCTTCTGTCTAATCACCATGCTTTCTCACTTGAATAAGCTCATGAAGACCATCTAATCATTGCAGTGGCTCTTTTTTTTTTTTTTTTTTTTTGGCTATAGGGCACGTGCACTTGCCAGAAAGAGAGAGAGACAGAGAGAGAGAAAGCGAGAAATCACCCCCCCAGGGGGGGATGGCCACGCCGCAATCCCTTCTCCTCCGTTCTCTCAGGATCTTGGGCACGCACGCATACACGCCCGGCGTGAGTTTAAGCCACTGGGTCCGGGACTCAAATCGCGGTCAAATACACAGAAGTCCAGCGACACACATTATGCCAACTACTGGTCCTGCAGTGGCTCTTTCTTAACCTTTTCAGTATTCTTTCCTCTACGTCATTAAACTGTGAAAATTTAGGAAAAGTAGTGGTACTTTAGAGGTCACTTTATTTTAAATACTTATGATTAAGATATTATAAAAGTCATTAATTGTGAAAAATAACCTATCAAAGGGATTAGATTACAAGAGAAAATGGGACATGATTACATCTCTAAATGCCAGAGTAGTGACCTAGGAAAATGTGGGAAATTGCTGGGGTTGGCCAAAGAAAATGTTATGCATAGCAAAAACAATGTTTGATAAGAAACTGAAGTATCCACCAAATCAAAGTTATGTTAAAAGCAAAGACATGCTTGCATAATGAATTAGAGATTCCAGGCAAATAAATAACGGTTTAAGGGATATAGAAAAAATTAAAGAATGAAGAAAATAGGAGATCCCACAGCATGCACTAAGTGCCAAAGACGAGTGCATACAAGAATGCTGAGAATGGGTTTTAAGGAAGACTCCACACCCAACTGACTTTGTATAGCAATTATACTTTCTGCTTCGAATTAACCTAGGGGAGTTGGCTATCTATGATAGTTCTTAGAGTTACTTTATATGGTAACTAATAAGCTCAAAGAATGTGGCGTTTTGAGCAAGAGGGTCTAACAGTCAAATAAATCTTAAAATGATAGCATGATTTAGTTGAACTCCTGGGAGTGAGTAAAGCATTCCAAAACTTGACCAGTGATGAGAATTTCCTTCATCTTTTTTTGTGCACTTGATTCTGTTCTTATTTTTCTAATTAAAATAATTTTTTCTTGGGGCCAGCAGGTGGCATGGTGGTTAAGGCACTGGACTCCCTCATGGCCGACCACAGTTCAAGTCCTGGACCTGGCAGCTTGCTTTCTCACTTCCTCTCTCTCTCTCTCTCTCTCTCTCTCTCTCTCTCTCTCTCTCTCTCTCTCTCTCTCTCTCTCTCTCTCTCTCTCTATCTCTCTGTCTGTCTCTCTCTGGTAAGCACATGTGACCTATAGCAAATTAAAAAATAATAAATAAAGTTAAATAAAATAATTCTTTAAAAAATATAATTTTGTCTTATTTTTCAGATGATAGTGTAATGTTGCTAATTCGTGTTCAGTTCTGACTATATACCGAAGAGGTAAACAGTGAGGTTCTTTTCCCTAAGAAAATCCCAAAAAGGAAATTCTACTTCAGAACCATATTTCTACTTAAAGTCATCTGACAGCTATTTTAAGGAATATAATCACTAACTCTAGTTGCAATCTGAAAAAAGTCTTCTCAAATTAATAACTTAAAATTCCACCTTCTCACACTAGAAAGAGAAGAGCAAACTAAACCCAAAACAAGCAGAAATGAGGACATAATGAAGATCAGAACAGGGACCAGAAGATGACATAATGGCTATTTTGCTAGACTCCCATGTAGTCAACCACGATTTGAGTCCCGGACCCAGAGTCTTAAAACTCACGCTGGGTACAAATGTGTGTGTGTGCACCCAAAATCTGGAGAGGAGACTGAAGAAGAAGGGACTGTAGTGTGGCTATCCCCCTGGGGGGGGGGGGATTTCTTGCTTTCTCTCTGTCTCTCCAGTAAAGGCATGCACCCTACAGCAAAAAACCTTTTTTAAAAAGAAGAGTTATTTTATTTAACTTTATTTATTTATTTATTTATTTATTTTAATTTTACCAGAGAGGGACAGAGGCGGGGAGGGGAGTGAGAAAGCAAGCCACTACGTCCAGGACTCAAACAGCAGTCAGCTATGTGGGAGTCTAGTGCCCATAACCACACCACTGCTGGTCCCCCAAAATCTCTCTCTTGAAAAAAAATTACAGCCAAGGGGCTGGCTCTATAGCTTAGTGTTAAAGGGAGTCAGATCCCCACATGGCTAGCCACGATTCAAATTCTGGTCCTGGTGGCTAGAAAAACACACAAAGCATGTGTGTGTGTATGCCCAAAATCTCAATAGGAAATGGAAGAGAAAGGATTGTGGTATGTCTAGTCCTCCCTGGAGGTGTGCTTTCACACTTTCTCTCTGTCTCTAGTGAGCACACACATTCGATAACAATTTTTTTTAATTAAAAAACTTAATAAATAAATAATTGGCAAATTGATCCCAAAATTCACTTGAAAACCTAAGGGATACAGAATAGCTAAAAATAATTTTAGAATGGAAAAATAAAGTAAAAGACTCAAACTTCCCCATTTCAAAACCTACAACCAAGCTGCATTAATGAAGACAGTG